CAATTGAATTGAATTATATTAGTTAAAAATATTGTAACTGAATTTATTTTTAACTTGTGCATATTTTTATATTCTTGTTAAACTTGTGAAATTAAATTTGCGCAACTTTTTTTAATTATCCAACTTAATAATTTCGATCTCATTAATAAATCACGCGTTAGGTGTGGCTGACTGCGCCACTAACCTGGCACACATTCAAGACGTGCTCAAAATAACTCGAGTTATTTTGTTGGTACGATCATAGTAAGGTGCCGGATAATTACGTTTACAAGCTTGTAGTTCTAAAATATACCTTTGTTTAAAAATAATTGACACGAACATTTGAAATGTTTCAAGTTCATTTTAATACAATAATATAACTCAAGTTTTCAAAAGCCATTTTCCCGGAAGGACATATTAGGGGGTTTCAGACCTAAGGTTCAGCGAATTAAATTCTATAAATCCTATTTATATAATAAGATATAATATATTTTAGGGAACGCCTATTTCCACCATTGGCCATAATTTATCGTAACAATGTTCGTCATGTATATATAGCTAAAAGTCATGTGAAAACATGGTGGAAATAGGCGCTCCCTTATTTTATCTCCGGATATTACTTATTTTTGTTTTCAGATTTTCGTATAGCAGTATGACTTAGATATGTTTATCAATTAAAATTTTTTACACGATACAGTAAATTTTTACGATAAAATTGGGCGAAATTTTATTTAATCGTTCACACGATATTATTTACTAAAAAAAAAAAAACTTGAAAGTGCTAAAACTCAAAAGAGCAAAGAATTATTTAAAAAAAAAATTTAATCAATATGTAATCATTGCGAAAATAATATTAGAGAAGTATTAGCCACCTGATCAGTGATGTAATTGGTTTCGTCCAATGGAAAACGATATTTATATTCGTCCAGTTTTTAGCATTCGGAAACTTTTGTTTATTCCATTTTTAATTTAGTTTTTAAAGAAAGACGTACCATTTTTTGATAAATTATGGTAATTTAAAAACCTAATAAGAAAATTTATAATACGTAGTCGAATTTCAATTTTTACAAATTACTAAAATAGATACTTATATATCGTATATGTAAATATATTATGTAATAATTTTAACCTGGGTTAATATAAATACATATCAATATCAGATACGTGTAAATTATAGAGTAAAAACCATATCTTTAAGCAATGATTATCTTGGTTCTAAAAATTTAACATTCGTTCGCCCTGGTAAATTTTAAATGCACTTTTATCCAAAATATATATACATATATGTAAGGATAATGTTATGTTTTGCTGCGGATTCATTCATCTGCTCATTGCTATGATATAAGAATCCATTCGAAACATAAAGACGTATATATGAATGAATTAGCAATATGACGGTAAAAGATTATTCAAGAGTGTGAGAGTTTATTAAAAAAATGTAATATATCAATATGCATGAAAGTTGACAATCGAGAATTATATCATTATTACATCATCAAGAAGCTCAAAATATATAAAAGGTCCGTCCAAAGAACCTACTCTCGGTTTAATTTTTCACAATGTCACTTGTAGATCTTAGTTATGCAGTAGTGCGGCGCCAAGGAGATAGAGATACTCAAATGGACAGATTTAGTGTTCAAAACCATTTTTCCGATAAGAAAGGTTATTCCCTTTTTCTTCTCTATGATGGCCACGGAGATGAAAGATTTTCAAAGGTTCTTACTAATTCTTTCCTATTTCGTCCGTGTCATTATTAAAATTAACCGTATTTTTAATAGCATGCAAAGGAAAACTTAACAAATCTGATCGAAAGTGATATAGAATTCACTGCTAAAAATTATGAAAAGGCTTTTATTAATGCTTTTAAAAATGAAGATGACCTTTTAAAGGTGACATATGGGCCTCAGACGTTTGGTGGAACTACTGCTACGGGTAAACTTTTAAAAAGTAATTTGGTACTTTAAAATGTTGTGGACTATAATGGAATGCATCGCTTGGCAAAATTATTTCTCATTCTGAAAGAATGAAAAGTAATTTCATCCACAACATTATTTATGATAAATTTTGAATTCTAAAATCAAAATGAAATGATTTGTTATGTAGTCTCATTGTTTTTCAAAAATTCGAATGTGTGTTATGTTGCTAATGTTGGTGATAGCACAGCAGTACTTGGAAGTGTTTCTGGACCTAAACCTGAAGCTATTACTGTCAGTTACGATGATAAAGTAAATGACTTTCGAGAATTTAGTCGGTAAATAACGAATTTTAAATTATTTTTAATGATTTTATACTTCACATTGTTTAATAAAATGATCCTCAGACTTGCGTCAGCAAATGCTAAAATTCGTAAGGGAAGGCTTATTCGTCCAGGTCATTCTGTCAATATGACTAGAGGTAAAAAAAATTGTGCATTAACATTGTCCAAATTTTTTTTCGAAATTTTATACGACTTATTTTTCTTGGATTATTTAGCTCTCGGTGATTTTGATTTCAAAGCACCATTTACTCCATCTGGAAAAGATTGGATTTCTTCAACTCCTCACACCTTCAAAATAAACTTGACTCCTTATGTAACTATTTTAATAATGATCATAAATTTTATGTGACAGATAGATTAATGACTTCTTTTTTTTTTTCTTTATATGCAGGAGGACGAATTTTTGGTTATGGCTTCCGATGGTAAAAAATTTTCTATAAAATTAGTGGTGTTTCAATGGTTATTGAATACTGCGTTTGTATCCTGCAATAAACAATTACGTTATCGTAATCTGTTCTTAAATTCTGTAACTAATTGCAATGCGGTATTAATATTTATTATTGCACGGGTCTTATGTGACAACCCGTGCTTTTTTCATTTACTTATTGGCACGGGATTGTACGTCAGACACCGT